TGATGATATTGGCATCTCCATTTACAAAATGACTAGTGTCTCTTTTTTATGCATAGATCTTATTCGATAAAAAGAAAAGATCAAGTTTCCTAGAAAATATGCTTTGATGCCATGATATGTATTAACTAGCTGTAAATTTAGGTGACATATGAAATACTATAACAATGAATATATATTTTAGGGAGTTATAACCAAAAATATAAGATTCTCTGTATATCCTTGTTTCCAAATTCTCTGTTAAAGATGAATTTATTAATAAAATGTGTTTTCTTCCAAGGGTTCTTTTGAAAATATGCATGGGCTTACCTGCACTAAAGTTCTAGGGCCATTTCCAATTTTGTTTCATGAACTACAAAGAACATTTTTTCATCTTGACCTAGAACATATATACATATACATATATACATAGACATACAATATATATGCATATCTGAAACAAAAATTCACAAAACAATACTAATTCTTAGTTTAAATGACACACATATTTCTATTCTATTTAATTTATTTTTAACATGTATATTATTGATTTATTTATTACAATAAGTTTTCCTGAGATAATCACTACCTTTAGCAGGATATGAAAAATTTGACTTCTTTCATCATAATCATCTGGGTAGTCTAGAGATGCAGTGAAGCATAGTGACAAGAGCACGGGCTTATGGTCATTAGGTCTGGATATGAATCCTGACTTTATAACTTTCTTTTTTTATTGTGGTATAATTGACATTATTATATTAGTTTTCAGATATATAACATAATGATTTGATATTTGTATACCCTGCAAAATTATCACCACAGTAAGTCTAGTTACCACCCATTACCATACATAGTTATGTATTCTATTTAATTTTCAATAGAATATTCTTTGTGGTGACCCACTAAAATGATTTCATGAGTCACTGACAGATCATGACTTAAAATCTGAAAAAAACAATGATCTAGACAAAGAATTACTCAGAGCCCAGCTGACAATTTTGACCATAATCATACATATTTGTAGAAATAAACCTATAGATATAAATATTGATTAATCAAATTGTTTATGTATTTTATACAGCTTATTCATGTTTGAATTTGACTTTAATAAGGCTGTCTTTGCAAAGTGTTGTTTTATGAACATCCTCAGACAAAACATTTAGATTCAGAATTTATGAGTACTAGACATCCTGTCCTTGAGGATAAAGACTCTCCTTTTAAATTTTCTTCCCAAATTCAAGGCTCTATAAATATCAGTAAATCATAAAATGTTTACTTTTTTTTAAATTCGAATTGTACAGTGGTGAAATATAGTGTTGTATTACTTGAGTAATAGTATTTACAATTTATCATTTGGAGAAGATTACTTGAACTCAAGATTGTTAATGATTTTTTAGAACTTTTAAACAGGAGCTAGGTTGAGGTTGATGTTTCAGAAAGGTTTGATTTAATTGATGTTTGCTCTTAGAAGTTTTTGGGGTCATTTTTTTTCTACAGTAATTGTCTGACTCTTGAAATCTGGATAATGACTAAATAAGGTAACCTATGGGTAGATTATGTTTCAAAATGGTTATTATGTATACAAGGATCTAATAATAATTACAGCATAACATAACTTATTGTGTTCCTTCGCCCAGTCAGGTATTCTGCCAAACACTTTATATACTCTCCTTTAATTCTTTCCACAATCTTATTAGGGAAGTATTATTGTTCCCACTTTATGTATAAGGAAACTAAGGCTTATGATAGGACTAAGTAACTTCTCCATGGTGACAAAACCTCAGGCCTGAGTCAAGATTGAAAAACACTGACTGATTGCCTCCAAAGCCCCTGGGTTTTATAACCATGTTCTGTTGTGCACAATAAAGCTCTGATTAACTCTCACCTGTAACCCAGAGAAAGCAAAATATCCAGGATTGGATTTTATGTTTTCACTTACACACAGGGCTAGCTACATAATTTATGTGGCTCAGTGAAAAATGAAATACAGAGACCCTTGTTCGAATAGCAGGAAGGAAAGTGCTGTTAAAATTACTAAAATATAAAGCTAATTTTCTAATTTCATGCTCTCTCTCTCTACTTGCCCTGGTGTGTTTTTGTTTTTGTTTTTGTTTTTTTCTTATTTAACATCATTCTGAATAAGGAAAATTAAAATTTTAAATCATTAGCATGTGTTTTACTGCTTATTGTTATATTGTGCAATTGCAGTGGCGGATGCACATATGAGCATTTAACTCATGCAAAATCAGTGTTATCAGACAATTTGTATGTTGTAGCTTGTACATACGTATGTATTTCATTCTTAATGTGGAGATGTTGCACAACTAATTCAGGTGTTTTTATTTCATCTCTTGATAGGTGCATATTCTACTAATATTCTTTACCTTCGGCTTACTGATGAGTAGAAGGACTGAAAGGAAAAGGAAGTATGGGTTGCCCTATCTTTCCCTTTCCTCCTATGTCATATGTCATGAGTTTCAGCATAAATGGTTGGCTAATACAAGAAAAAAATAAGAGTGAGCAGAGATGTGATAGAATCCCTTGGTTGTTTGTGTTTGTGTTTTCTTAGAATTGCCTTCTTTTTGGCTTTGAAGCGATTTCTGTTTCAAATAGAAAGCATGACTTCCTGGGGCTGTTAGTACCCTCAGTCACTCAGTCATAGACATAACACACTTACCTTGTATTCACTTGAGTTGTGCGAAATTGCCATACCCTGTGAGTTCACCAGCATCCTGTGCTCAGGAGACATAAAAAAACAAAAACAAAAACAAAAAAAACTATATGATGCAAATGGGGTGAACACACATACTGCACTTATATTCTCTGCTCATGTACATATTTCATCACCCCATTGGACTTTGCTTACAAAACCCAAGTTTAAAGATAAAATTATTAAGAATTTTGAGATGGCCATGTTAAGAAGTGGATAAAACAAGCATGGGGTTCTTCCGAGACTTGAGTATTGTGCAGTTGCTTGGGCTGAATAGTCATGAAGCTCATCCCATCAACACACGTCTCCCGGGCTCCCTTTTTGTAACTTCTCCTCTCTTTATGCTGACTTTGATATTTATTATTAATAGTATTTAGGGGTGGGCAGAAGGGATATACCGTGGAACTTGTTATAACTTCTAAGACCTTCAGAAATTGCCTTGACCTTGGAGATGGCCCTTGCATATATCTCTCTTATGGCACTTGTGCCCTGTTTGAGATACTAGAGCTGGGTGAGTTTGACTTATCAAGATGACATATTTATGCCACTCTCTAGACACAGATAAAGAGTGTATCGTTTGATGAAAATATCACACCAAAGACTGCCGCTATATTTTGCCATCTTAAAGGACTTAATAGTTGGAGAAATTTATAACATTAAACTTTCAAAATTGGAGTATTTATCAGATGTGCACAATTACGTTGGTGCTGGCAGCTCAGTGAGGTAAGGCCCCGCATTGAGGGGAGCTGGAAATAGAAAAAGCAGACATGCCAGAGGCAAACCATAAAAAGGATGGGTTTTTCTCTAAGCAGGATTGTGAAATTCCCCCAAATAACTTCTGATTGTTTTACACTGCCTTTTGTTTCCTTTGCAAAACCTTGCTTGTTAGGGCCCAGTGCTTGCTTGCTGTATTTGGAGTACACAGAAGATTCCTCTCCAAATATTTCTCCAATAGCTTTGCTCTGCTCCT